TATGAACATTCCCTGTAGTTAGCTTTGATAATTTTCATCTGTGTAGTTTTTAACTGTATTTTAATTGGATTTTAATTGTTACATCTCATAACACAATGCTTTAATTATTTTTTAATGTTTATATTAATATTTACTTTGTTTAATTTGCATTGTGCTATGTTTGCTGCTAGTCGCCTTGACTCCCTATGTCGGGTGAAAAGCATAATAATAAAAATAAATAAAATATAATAAAATAAATTTTCAGTATGAATTCCTTAGTCAACTACGTAATTGTATCCCACTCGTCTTCCAAAGGGCCATGTTCATAGTTCTCTCCTCTTTATCCTCACAGCAACATTGTAAAATAGCTTACATTAAGACAACAATAAGGCCTTTGGCCACTGTGGTTGACTGCAGTCTTGAACCCAGATTTATTTACTCCAGAGGTTCCCAATTTTTGGTCCTCCAAATGTTTGGGACGGCAACTCACAGAAACCCCAGCCACCTTGGCCAACTGTGAAGAATTCTGGGAGCTGAAGTCCAAAACACCTGGAGGACCAAAGCTTGAGAACTACTGATCTAGTCAAAGCTCAATGTTTTTCTCATTACACCAGGGGTCCTCAAACTAAGGCCCGGGGGCTGAATACGGCCCTCCAAGGTCATTTACCCAGCCCTTGCTCAGGTTCAACCTAAGTCTGAAAGCACACAACAACAAAAATCCTATCTCATCAGCCAAAAGATGGCCTGCACTTCCCATTAAAATACTAATAAGTTTATATTTGTTAAAATTGTTCTTCATTTTAATTATTTTATTGTTTTAAGCATTTTTTGCACTACAAATAAGACATGTGCAGTGCGCATAGGAATTCATTTATATGTTTTTAAAATTATAATCCGGCCCTCCAACAGTTTGAGAGACTGTGACCTGGCCCCAGGCATGTAGCCGGGGGGGGGGGGGGGGCTTGAGGGGCTTCAGCCCCCCCCCCGAAATTCTCATGGTGGTTCGCGAAAAGGCCTTACTGGTGCATTATTTAAACTGTTATGTTTATTCATATCATGATCTGATCACCATACTCAATAAATCCCATATGCATGGGGGTATTGGGGTAATGATACAAAAGGTTTGCTAGGCTAGACCCTCTTTCACTCAGACTCAGCCCCCCCCCGAAACTCAGCCCCCCCGAAACCCCCCCTGAAAAAAAATCACACCCCCCCCCCCCCGAAATGAAATCCTGGCCACGGGCCTGCCTGGCCCTCTGTTTAAAAGGTTTGTGGACCCCTGCATTACACCGTATAAGACACACTCATATCCTATCTGTTTTTGATCTTCTTTGCAATTAGTCATTCATTGTCCTCTGTCTATGTATCAAAACAACTGGCTTACAATGTAAAGAAACATTAAGGACACCTATAGAGAACAGGTGGTAAGGTAATGGTGCTCCATGCAGTCATGCTGGCCACATGACCTTGGAGGTGTCTACAGACAATGTCGGCTCTTTGGCTTAGAAATAAAGATGAGCACCAACTCCCAGAGTCGGACATGACTGAACTTAATGTCAGAGGAAAACTTTTATGTATAGAGAATAAATAAACTTATTAAGGAGATGGTTAAAAAAACCCACAGATAAGGCATTGGGAAAGTTCCTATTTTGTACGGCTCCCACAGCCTCCTACAGCTACTCTGAGAGTGATGGTCCAGACATTACATTTTCCTGATTCTAATCTGTGGAGACTAAAACTTCAGGTCAAGTGCCTGTTGGAAAAGAAAATTATTTAGCACAATGATGGAAATATCTACTTTGGCAGCTTCCAGCCTTTACTTTTCACATACATGTCTGGGCATAAACAATACCAGTTCAGCAGGAGAAAGTGTCATATATTAAAATCATAAGGCTTAAAAAAAGAAATACATTAAAAAATACATCAATCATTCAAAACATTAAAAGCAGAAAATCCTCAACATTAACATCAAGATCAATGTTTCAAAACATCAAAAGCAGAAAAAACCCCAAATGGAGTTGTCTGAATTGGTTCCTATAAAATGTATGGGTGTAGACACTAAAATGGGTAGGTTAAAACATTATCCTTTAAAATCATCCACAATTAGCTACCCTAAGAGGGACTGACAGTTTTCTATCATCTATGAGATGTTTTAGATAGTAGTTGTCATTGCTACCATCTATCTTTTATATGATGGGAGTAATAAAAACAGTTCAATTAACTCTATAAAAGTCACAAAATAACAAAAAAGGTAAAGTACCTAGGCGTTACTCTGACAAATAAAGACTGTCTACTGTTCCAAAATAACAATGAAACCTTATCAACAGATGTTTAAAAAGATCTATTAAGATGGGATAAAGTACAACTGTCACTTCTGGGCGGGCTCTCTGTGATGAAACTGAAGGTACTGCCAAGACTGTTCCTTTTTCAAACAATACCTGTGATAGCAACTGATAAACCATTTAAGGAATGGCAAAAAGATATATCTAAAGAAGCTAAGAACTAAATTTAAGGTGCTATAAGATGCAAAAGAAAGGGGCGGATCAGGGTTTTGATTCCGGGGGTGGGGGGGCTGAGTCTGAGTGAGAGATGATATACCCTAGCAAAACTTTTGTATCGTTATCCCAATACCCCCATGCATATGGGATATACTGAGCATGGTGATCAGATCATGGTATGAATAAAAATAACAGTTAAAATAATAAATGTTATTTATTTACTAACTTCATTTTAACGCAGAAGAACTGTCTAATAATGATGATGATGATGATGATGATGATTATTATTATTATTATTATTATTATTATTATTTATTAATTAATAATACAGGGCATTGAACCAAGCCAACATTGGATCTGGACCAAACTTGGCACATAGAGCCAATGTGCCCAACAGTGCATACAGACAGGGATTGGGAATGATTGCCCTTTTCAAATGGTAGTTGTTGTTTACCTGGATCCAGAAAGCACTGAAGGCAGCTAACATCATATCTGGACCAAGCATGGCCAACTATGCATACAGGACAGGTGAGGATTGGGGGTGATTGACCTTGGATCTGGGAGTTGCAGTGCGCCCTTATCCAGAGGGCATTGAACCAAGCCAAC